TTGCCTTCATACTCTGTGTGAAGTTGTGAAAGTAATCTTGCCTGTTATGTCCTGAAGACCTTGTTTTGAAACTTGGTCATTTTCTGATAGTCTGCACTTGTTTAGGCTTGTTACGTGAATAGAATTTTTGTGTGCTCTTTTGCCACAATTGTGAAATCTGGGGAGTTGCAGAGATATCTTGTTATTGATCCTGTTGGTTTCTACCACATAGCTGGTTGAGAAATTGTTCTGTTTGTCACACGACCAGTGGAAGATGGGCAACCCTCTACTTTGTAAGAGAGTCAAGGCTATTTTGGCAAATGTTGTGTGTTTTCTAGATGTGTTTTAGGAGCTGGATAACTTGGTAATTTCGTTGCTCCTTCTCTTCTGAAAGTTTTATAGTGAAGTTTCACTTTTTCCATTTGGAACTTCATGGTCTTTTCATGTGGCTCATTTTTCTATATTGGTTAATCAAGAGCAGTGATCAATTCAATTGAAATTGCCTTGTTTTGTGAAGATTAGCAAGCTGTCATAAAGTTAAACTCTCTTTTGTTGCTAATCCTTACATTCTTGATACTTGGAAATTGCTTGAAACTCTTGAGATCCGTCTTGAATCTTTCTTGATATTGCTCTGTACTTGTTCTTGAAATTGAAATCCAAAAATGGATAATGATTATTGAAATCCTCATTATCTTGATACTTGTCTGAAACTATTTCTTGAAACTGTTTCTGGCATTGTGCTTGGAATCGGTTCGTAAACCTTGCTTGAAATTAATTCTTGCGTGGTTTTTGGAATCTATTTTGAATTGTCCTTGAAAACCATTATTGTCTTGACTCTTACTCTGCTCTTGTTCAAATTCTGTATACTGTTCTTGCTCAAATCCCGCATATTCTGCTAGTTCTTGTGTCAGTATACCTATTGATCTTCTTGATTTTGATTTTGTTCATATGGACACCTCTTAGGAGGGGTGACGATTATCAGAAGATACCTATATGAGGTATTCTAAATTCTTGTCTCTTGCAAGTGTTAATCTCTGTATCCTAGATGTCTTAGCTTTGACTTGACTCTAGGATGTCTAGAATGACTTGATTGTAAATCTGCTTAGTCTCCATGAGCTACGAGGTGAAAGGGTAGTCTTTAAAGTGCCTGATGCCTTAGAGTTTTGTTCCAAGTGAAATGGTTCTTTTATCTGGCTGCTTGGATTTTTGTTTGCCCTTTTAATTAGAAGACATGAATCTTCTAAGCATCTTGATCCCAGCCATTGCTTTGTTCTGTTAATTAATTCTAGTACTTGAGGTACTAGATCTTGACATCCTGGTTATATCTGCTCTTGAATCCATGTTCCGATTGTCATTATTGGAATCTCTTTTGTGAGCCTAATCCTTGAATTCTATTGCTTGTTTCATGGTTAACTCTTGTCTCTCAATTTTGATTGCTTGGTTAAATTTGATCTTGACTCTAGGTGAATGCCATTTTGTTGCTGAATTTTTTGAGGCATTCTACCTTGCACTCTTGTGTTCTAGTATTCTTCCAAGCATTCATATTTTCCATTGATTTTATTCTGTTGCAATTCTTGAGATCCTTATACGTCTTTTGATGGGCTTAGCTTTTAACTCTTGTTAATTGCTAAAATCTGTTTCTTGATTCCAACTGCTTTGTTAAACATGAGCTTGTTTATTGGCTAGCCTTGTTTTGTGATAGAATGTATAAGGCATCCATGCACTCATTCATTATTCATGATCCATATATCCATTGGATGCTTATCCATCTTTGATAAGAGTTTAAAATTTTGTTGTGCTCGTCATTAAATCCATGCCATTCTTTGTCAACTCGTCTTGTGATGGGTTCGAAGCGTAACCCCACAATTGTTCTTTTGTGGCTTTGGCAGGATTTATTTTTATTCCTTGTGCTTCACATGTCACCCCAGCCTCTAGTAGCTCATTTCATGGTAAACCCTGTTAAGTAGCTAGTGTCCTGCTTTTAAGATTAGTCGTGATTTGTTATCAGAGTGGCGAAGCGGAAGCGTAGTAGGCTATGTTCTGTTATAAAGAGTTTGTGAGGCAATTGTTCTGTCTCGGATTGTGTGAAGCCATTCACCACTTGATATGGTCCTCAATTTGAGTTTTGGGGACAAAACTCCTTTTTAGGAGGGGTG